GATGGAACTGAGTTATTAAAATTAAAGAGGATATATTCGTGAACATCATTTAGTTTTTTAGCTAATACTTCTCAGTGAAGGAATGATATGCACCTTTAATCTTGAAAAATAGGCTGATTACTTCACAGCTGGAATTGTTAGAAAGCTTGTTTCGTATTGATTCTGTTGACTTTCATCTCCCTTTGGAATAATCTTTTCAATGAGACAAGTCCTTCCTTAAATATGCAGCTTCTCTTCTGTTAGATCTGTCTATTTTGACTGTCTTCTTTCTTTTCTTTCTTTCTTTTTTTTTTTTTTTTTGGTCATTTGTGGGGCCTGAACTCTAGGTTTGGGCGCTGTCCCTCAGCTCTTCAGCTGTACACTAGCGCTCTACCACTTGAGCCTCAGCCCCACTTGCTTATGTGGTGCTGAGGAATAGAACTGAGGGCTTCATGCTTGCAAGGCAAGTACTCTACCACTGAGCCACCTTCCCAGCCCCAACTGTCTTCTTTCTATCCATTCCATTCTTGTTTTCCTAAGGTGACATTAAAAACTAAGAATGGCAGATGTGCTATAATAATCTGTGCAGATTTTATAAGCCAGTGGTCAGTATGTGTGGCTGTGGTTCTGCCATCCGTCCTTGTCCTCTGTTGCTGGCATTTTGAAGCTTGGTTTTTTTTTTTACAGGAAAACGAAGGCTAGGACTCTCAGAGAGCACTGAGGTGTAAGAGGACCCAGTCACCTAGGGCTTCTCGCATTCCCTGCTTGGCCTGTCCTCCCAAATCATGAAGCAGCAGATTGGCAGCGCATACATCCTCTAAAACTTGTGCATCTTCATCACATTTCATAAACCCTGCAATGCCAGGGGTACATTTCCTAGGAATATTTTGTTTTGATTATTTATAGGATTGGGGGAACTGCCTAAGCTTTCTATCTTACAATAATGTTTTATTAGGAAGAGATTTTTGCCTCTTGCCTGAAAACTATTTGAACCTTTCTAGGTAGTGAAATCTGCTTGAGATTATTGGTGTTTTTAATAACCTGGTTATAAGCTGGAGGACATGTAGATTGCAAAGTAGTCTGTTTCTGAAAGTTGAACAGTGACAGATAAGCCAGTCTTCTGTGGACATCTGTGTTCCACTTCAGTGCTCCAAGCAGGTTTGTTGTTGTTGTTGTTGTTTTGTGCAGTGGGCTCATTTCACCAACACTTGAGTGACACACAAGCAGAATTAGGCAAGGCACTGTGCTAGACTGGAAACCTTAGGACAGCCTTTAACATCCATTGGAGCAGCCTGATCAGTGACCCTTTAAGGAGGGTCTTGACTGACGTGGGATGTGTGCTCAGCAGCCTCCTCCAATATATTGTTATTTATTATTAATACCATAATAACATAATGACAATAACAACATCATTGTTACTTATATATAATATATATTATCTGTATAATACTCCTGGCCTTTTATATATGTATATGTAATATACATATATACACATACATACATACATATGCATAATGACCAGACAGCATAAAACATGACTTAAATGAGAAATAAATTTAAGCCTAAGATCCAGTGTTGGAAAGAAAAATTAACAAAAAAACAAATAGAATTTTGTGGGTTCTAAAGAGAGATTTGAGCAAATTCAGATACTTGATGGTACTGGTTTTCCTTACTCCAAATCCTTTGAAATGTTATAGCTTTTTAGTTTCTTAACTTACTCTTTGACTTATTCATGCAAAACATTTTTTAAGCTGTTTGTTGTACCTTGTAGTGGGTTCTTGAGAATACCATAGTAAAAAAGAGATAGTCCCTGTTCCCTGTGCCCCTCACCAGTGAAGCAGGGAGTTGCAATAAGGAAGCAGGCATGGGGTAAGTGCTGAGAAGGGAATGCCCCACAAGAAGACCAAACCAAACTTCTGGGACTTGCCCATGGGTCTCACCTTGGTACAGTGTGACTGAAAGACAGCTCAGAGGGCAGGGGAGGTGCAGCAGCCAAAGGTTCTCAGAATGGAAAGGTGTATCCAGAGAAGGGTGAAGAACCTATGCTGCTATACCCAAAGGGACGAAAAGGTTTTGTAAGCAAGTGGAGACAGAGAAAGGGGTCTGATTGAACCACAGTAGATTTCTCCCCTTTACTTTTAGGATAGCAAATTATTCAGAATTAGGATAACAGTAATTTTAGACTACCTAAGAAGAGATGAAGATGCGAATGGATGGTAGCAATAGGAGAGTCTACTTTAGACTACTAAAATAGTATTCAAGTAAGAGTCAGGACAATGGTTGCAGAAAGAAAAAAACGATGGTGAACAAATGGATTTGAAGTGACTATGACAGCTAACATCAGTATTTGAATATGAAAGATGGCACCAGAATTCTTCCTGGGTTCCAGACAGGCAGATACGGGTGCTGTGCTGCTTGCTACGGGACAGAGGATTCTTCCTTGGTTGCTGGTAGAACTTAGAAAAGGAGTGTCAAGATGGGTATGAGAAAGCTCATCAAAGATAGAAGTAACTCCTCTGTTAATTGTAGTTAATTCAATTTAATTGATAATTTCCTGGCAGAGGAAAATTAAATGGGGACGGGAAGGATAGGTTTAAAAGTTGCTGTCAGGTGGCAGCACCAGACCAGACACGCTGATTGTTACCAAGTGGAGTGTCACTATGGGAAAGATCGAAACTGCATAGGGAACATTTGCAGATTGCCAAGCAGTTTGTTTCTTTACATGAGAGACAATCTTTGTGTTCAGGTTTCTCTATATTTAACATATGAACCTACCTATTTGAAATAGAATACTTTCAGGGCCAGGAAGGCTAATGTGATTTCACACAATATTGAATTTATAACTCATTATAAATGTAGAGATGATTGAGGTTTCAGGAATTTAAACAATCCATAAACCTGCCTGTTCTTCCTTAAAGGGGCCTGGGATCTCGAGGAGTTCTGTTGTGCAGTCAAGGAGAATAGGATACGCTGAGTTACTGGGTGAAATGTCTAGACTTGGATTTGCAGAGTTTAGTAATGTATACTTAAAGTTATTTCATATTCCATTTACTTCACAGTGTATTTTTCAATTTACATATTGTGGTACTGAGGATTTAACTCAGTGCTTTGGACTTGCTAGACAACTACTCTTACCACTTGAATTATTTATTTCCCCAGCCCTTTTTTGTATTGGCTTGATATATGTGTGTGCACGTGCATGCGTGTGTGCATATGTGTACCAGTTCTGAGGCTTGAACTCAGGGCCAAGGTGCTGTCTCTGAGCTTTTTTGCTCAAGGCTAGCAGTCTATCACTTGGTCACATCTCCACTTCCCACTTTTTAGAAGTTAATTAGGGATATGAAACTCATGGACTTTTCTGCCTGGACTGGCTTCAAACTGCAGTCCTCAGATCTCAGCCTCTTGAATGGTTAGGATTACAGGTGTAAGCCACTGGCTTTTTTTGGGGGTGTGGGGGGGAGAGTCAGCCCTGGGGCTTGAACTCTGGGCCTGGGCGCTGTCCCTCAGCTCTTCAGCTCAAAGCTAGCGCTCTACCATTTGAGTCACAGCGCCACTTCCGGCTTTTTCTGCTTATGTAGTGCTGAGTAATCGAATGCAGGGCCTTATGCATGAAGGTGAGCACTCTACCACTGAGCTACCTTCCCAGCCTCCACTGGGTTATTTTTAAGGTAGGGTCTGACTTTTTTTTTTTTTTTTTGTCTGTCATGGGGCCTGAACTCTGGGCCTAGGCGCTGTCTCTCAGCTATTCAGCTCAAGGCTGGCACTCTACCACTTGAGAGACAATGCCACTTGCAGCTTTTTCTGCTTATGTGGTGCTAAGGAATCGAACCCAGGGCCTCATGCATGCAAGGCAAGCACTCTCCAATGAGCAACCTTCCCAGCCCCGGTAGGGTCTGACTTTATGCTCTGGCCTGTCTCGGTTCTGATCTTCCTACTTATACTTCCTCTGTAGCTGCATAACAGGCACACACTACCACCCATCTGCTGGTTGAGATGTGTATTTCAAAACATGCCTGAGCCACAAGCTGGGGCTGGCCTAGAACCGCAATCTCCTATCTCCACCTCCTACGTACTTAGAATTACAGGACTGAACCATTGCACTTAGCCCAGTGACATTTATTCTATGAAGCCACTAAAATAAATAAATGATTATTTATACTAGAAATACTTACTAAAACCTCTAATATTTGGTGGATAGATAATCCTTAAAGTAGGTCTGGGATGTGGAACATTGAGAAGTACTAGCTTCATAGAATACTAAACACAGGAGGTCTTTTATATATGGATCCATGCCTATAGCTTTATACATTGTGTTTTGCAGTAGCTTCATACCTAGGAAAAATAGCTGCCACCGTTTGTTAAATATGTACTATGCCTTAAATGTTTACATGATCTTACCTAAACTTTACAGCAATCATTAGAGGAAAGGAACTGTCCCTATTTTGCAACTTGGAAGTTGAAGCCTAAACAAGTTAAGCCGTTTAGCCATACCTTCCTCCCAGAATCAAGGGTTGCTGTAAATCATTGTGGTCAAATCCTCTTCCAAGAAGGGAATGCCAGTCTCCCTTCGTCTTCAGTCTCTCCAGCATTTACTTTCTTGCCAAGTGCTAAGTGAAAATATTAACTAAAACGGAGAGATAACTAGTGAGACTGGGCTTCTCCTGTTTCTTAGGTGTCTGTGTTTTCTGTTGGGAATTTCCCAGGCATATCCTCTACACCTTTTTCCTTTTGAGATTGTCTACCTAATTGTTACGTTGGCCACATGATTTATTTTGCCATAACTTCAGAAGGTAAAAACGGGCAACAGAGTTTGTTGGGCTTTGCAAAGTTTTTCTCAGCTTTTGTTGTGAATGCTAATACAGATTGTAAAGTGAGTGTGTTTCCACATTGAAAGAGAGGTAATATCTGGGTTAGAGCAGTACCTGCAGATGCTCAGATTATTCCTGACAGTGTGTCACCCTATTACTTACTACCTGAAGGTTTTAGAAAGAACTCATCAGTTCTCTTTATTTCCTTTTTAGGTTTGCCTGCAATGAAATTTCATTCTTTACACTTAAAAGACATCCTTTCTGAACTGCTGTGAATAAATTTGGAATGATACTGTATATTTTCAACTAATGGAGAATTAGCCGTGTCTTGAACAAGGATTGCTGCACTGGACAACTTCAGAACCTTATTCACAATGTCATCAAACAGGAGTCAGAATCCCCATGGACTGAAGCAGATTGGCCTTGACCAGATTTGGGATGACCTCAGAGCTGGAATCCAGCAAGTATATACCAGACAAAGTATGGCGAAGTCTAGATATATGGAACTGTACACGTATCCTCCTGCTGCTGTGATTAGTTTGTTTAGAATTTTGATTGTTTCCTAATATAAATCTGAGTTACTAGTAATTTTAATCATGTTTTTTCTCTCTGTTGACCCTGTGATAGAATCAAAAAGTTCATGTTTAGCTTTGTGTTTTTTTAGCAGAGGTAAAATTGGCTGGTTAGTAATTCAAAGCAGAACTGGTCAGTAGAGTGAGCGCTAAGTATGTGTGGCTGTTTACATTTAAACAGCTGCCTCTTTATATCCATGGGTTCTGCAGTCATACATTCAATAACCACAGAGGGAAATCTCTTCACTGAGCATACTAGATTTTTATCACTCCCTAAATGGTACAATGTAACAACTTTACATAGCATTTTTTTTTTTGCTTTTTTTGGGGGGGTAGGGGGTCCAGTTGAGGGGCCTGAACTCTGGGCCTGGGCGCTGTCCCTCAGCTCTTCAGCTCAAGGCTAGCGCTCTACCACTTGAGCCACAGCTCCACTTCCGGCTTTTTTCTTTTTGCTTATGTGGTGCTGAGGAATCGAACCCAGGGCCTCAGGCATACAAGGCAAGCACTCTACCACTGAGCCACCTTCCCAGCCCCTTTACATAGCATTTATATTAGGCATTTTACGTAATAGATATGTGTGTGTCGCTTGCAGATATTACAGCTTTTTTATGATGAATTGGAGAATCACCGGATTTTTGTATTGAGAGGGACTAATACTCCTTGGACACTGAGGAATGACTAATCTAAGAATTCAGTTCCTAAGCCAAGTACCAGTCTAAGACCTGAGGATCACGGTTCAAAGCCAGCCCGGGCAGGAAAGTCCTTGAGACTCTTACTCTAGAAAACCAGAAGTGGCAGTGTGGCTCAAGTGGTAGAGCACTCGCCTTGAGCTGAAGAGCACAGGGACAGTGTCCAAGCCCAGAGTTCAAGCTCCATGACTGACAAAAAAAAAATTCAGTTCCTTAGTGTGAACTATATATTTTAAGTGCTCTGGAGTCAGATAATAGGACATTTCTGTCATTGTAGAAGTTCTGTAGGTTACAGTGGAGTAAATTAAGTTTTTGACTGCATTCGTGTTACAGAAAAGAGTTTTAAGTAGTTGTATTAGAAACAATATGGTCCACAAAGCCTAAAATACGTATAGGCCCTTAACAGGAAAGTTTGTTGACCTAGAGCAAACGTTTTACTCTCAGGGTCCTGTGTTATAAATGCAGTATTAATACAGGATCTCTCTCCTCATTGGCCCACCATGGTCTATTGTGTGCTCCGAGGCCGGGGAGGGTTGAGTGATGCCACTGCTGCTGTTACACACTCAGAGGCACACCATTTGAAGTTGTAGAGTTTCTTGGTTCCATACAAATATAAAACTGAGATTAAACTAAAGGGTCTATGGCTCAAGCAGTAGAGCAGCAGCCATGAGTAAAAAAGCTGAGCAAAGAGTTTGAGGCCCTGAGTTCAAGTTCCAGAACCAGCACAAAAAAATAGTAATAAAATAAAACTGAAAGTAAAGCTAAGCTAACTTAGTAGAGAACAGATTAAAGTGAAGATAACTTCATACAGAAGGAAGTGTTACTAATTCTAGGACTTCAGAATCTCTAGTTTAATGGAAATTTAAGTTGAAAGACATAGTACAGGGATAGTCAAATAAAGTTACATCATAGTCCATCATGCCCTCAAATTTATAAATGTTTTGTTGTTGAGTATTAGTAGCTGTTTTATTAATAAGGTACTTATATGATTAATTTATATAGTTTATAAATTCTACTTTATATGAAACCCTAAAGTTTATACATATTCATGTATGTAAATATATTTTGTACTGTATAATACTTAAAAATAACAGCTTTATTAAAAGAAGATTCACAACTGATAAAATTTATCCACTTAAAAGGTACACAGTGCCTGGGTGGTAGCTCACTCCTGTAATCCTGGCTACTCAGGAGACTGAGATCGAGGAACATGGTTCAAAGCCAGCCTGGACAGGAAAGTCCGTGAGACTTGTCTCCAATTAACCACCAAAAACCAGATGTAGCACTGGGGCTCAAGTGGTTAAGCACTCACCTTGAGCTGAAGAGCCAAGGGACAGCATCCAGGCCCAGAGTTCAAGCCCCACAACCAACCAAAAAAAAAGGGGTATCATGCAGCTAGGCACCAATGGCTCATGCCTAAAATCCTAACTACTCATAAGCCTCAGATCAGAGGATTGAGGTTCAAAGCCAGTTCAAACAGGAACATCCATGAGACTCTTATCTCCAGAGAGTTAACCACCATAAAAGCCAGAAGTGGAGCTATGGCTCAAGTGGTATAGTACAGTAATTTTCAGTATATTTGCAGTTATATAATCATTACTGTCTAACTTTAGGATGTTTTTATTACCCCCCAAAAGATACCCTTGTACCAATTAGCAAGGAAATTCCCATGTTAATTCCCCTCACCACAAATCCTGGCAACCACTAACCTAGTTTCTGTTTGAATTTGCAGACAGAATTGAAAAATAGGAGGTTTCCTGTCAGTTACTTTCATTTAGTATGTTCTCAAGCTTCCTCATTGGAAAAATGTATCAAAACTTCATTGTGACTTCATTGTATGGATATATTACATTTTGCTCATCCATCCCTCAGTAATACCTCTGAGTTGTTTTCCTTTATTGGCTGTTAAGATTACTGTTGGGAGGCTGGGTGCTGGTGACTCATGGCTATAAATGCTAGCTTCTCAGGAGGCAGAGATCTGAGGATCATGGTTTGAAGCCAGCCCACGCAGGAAAGTCTATTAGACTCTTAATTCCAAATAACCACCAGGAAAAAAAAAAAAAGTAAACCCAGAAGTGGAGCTGGGGCTCAAGAATACTGTTATAACATGGTGTACTAGTCAAGTGGCTGGAAAATTCTCCCTTCTCTTGGATAAATGCCTGAGGTTTGGAATTGCTGAGTCAGGGACACTTTTAATAAAGATGGAGTCTGCCAAGTGTGGATCATCTTCCCTCAGGGTTCTGGCCAGCTGGATATAACTGGTTTTGATTTTTTTTTTCTTTTGTAAATTTTGTTAACAAGTAGACTTGAAAGCTCTGATTTTAGTGTTGAGTCTTGACACTTGTTGGGATCATAGGAAACTTCGTTGCTGATTAGTCTGTGCGGAATTTTTGGTTAGAGACAGTGTCAGGATCTCATTCTGCAGCCCAGGCTGAACTACCACTTCCTATCCTGCTGCCTCACCCTCCTGAGTGCTAGGTTATAGGCATGTGCCACTGCTCCTGGCCCTGGGAAATTTGTTAATATATAATTTCTCACTAAATCAGCTTAGTCTTTTTCTGTTTTTGGGTGTAGAGACTTTGTGTTCTAGCAGATACTACTGAGTTCTTTTATTCTACAAGGGACCATGCTGTGTGTCTATTCATACATACAACTTCAGTGTTTTAGTACTGCCACTCAAATTGGGTATTCCTTTTTCTTTCCATTCTTATCTGAGAAGGCAACAACTTCATGTATTAAAATTGGAGAATCTAGGGGCTGGGAAGGTGGCTCAGTGGTAGAGTGCTTGTCTAGCATGCATGAGGCCCTGGGTTCAATTTCTCCGTAGCACATAAGCAGAAAAAGCCAGAAGTGGCACTGTGGCTCAAGTGGTAGAGTCATAGCCTTGAGCTAAATTGCTGAGGGACAGCGCCCAGGCCCAGAATTCAAGCCCCATGACTAACAACAACAACAAAAATGTAGAATCTAACCAAGTGGAAAATCTAATTCTTCAGTATTTCTAAAATAGTAGCTACTCTTTGAGTCCTATACATCAGACACTGTGCTAGAAGCCATGCACCTCTCACATAAGGCCTATTAGCATGAGAGTTGGTGGTATAATCTTCATCTATTGATGTTGGAAAATCTTCAGTAATGAGTCTTGAGTATTTTCTAGAGAAACAACATACTTCTACTTGCAAAACAAATGTTCCTAGAGCATTTAGGGACCTCTCAAAATTGTTTTTGTTATAACAGGAAGAGGGTTATTAAGCATTTTTCTTGATTTTTCTTGATTTTTTTTTCAACTCAAAATGGTAAGAGAGAAAGGAGTGGAGAAAAGGGAGAAAATAGCCCAAAGCATCTATAAAACAAAAGATGGGCTTTCATTAACTTTGTTTCTAGCCCTCTCCTCAAAACTCAGAGGGTTTCTGCTAAAGAGCCTTAAATCCTCGCACCTGTCTTGTCCATTCAGCACTTCCTACCAGCATTCGCCTCTAGTTTTCTATCATATCTTATGCATATACAGTTACAATTCAGTATAGTAGATGTATGTTCAATGTAGGTAGGTGAATAACAGTAGTTCCTTTGTGAACTTGAAATGAGTACAGAATATCCCCCGCCCCTTTTTGAAATTGTGGGGCTTGATGCTATCCCTAAACTCTTTTGCTCAAAGCTAGCACTCTTATCACTCTGAGCCACATCTCCACTTCTGGTTTTCTGGTGGAAGATAAGAGTCTTGGGCTTTCCTTCCTGGGCTGGCTTTGAACCGTGATCCTCAGATCTCAGCCTCCTGAGTAGCTAGGATCACAGGCGTGAGCCACCAGCACCAGGCTGAAATCTCTTGTCTTTTTATTGATACCATTTTATTTCATGTGATATACTGGGTCCAGAAAATAAACAGCTAAGTGAAGAGGGCTCAAAGGGGTGCAGGGTAGTGTGAGCCCTGCCTTGCTTGGCAAAGCATCAGGCCCATCTGTTTTTGCGCATTATGTCAAGCAGTCATGTACCTTGGAGCTATAATTTTAGTTTCTCTTCAAATTATTTAAACTTCCATGTCAAGGGAACTTCCTCTCACTCAGAGGATAAAAGTATCCAAAATTTATTTTTGCTGGGGTCCAGTGGCTCACATGTATAACCCTAACTATTCAGGATTGAAATTCAAAGCCAGCAGGGAAAAAAAAAAGTCCATGAGACTCCATCTCCAATTAACTAGCAAAACAAAGGTGGGCTAGAAGTGTGGTCAGGTGGTGGAGTGGAACCTGTGAACAGGCAAG